TCTAATGGTGACTGTAACTCTTGAAGAAGAATGAAAAGAGATTATAGATGCTGTGTCGAGCTGTAAGGCTGAGATGAGAGATGGTTTTTAGTAGAATCAAGTTCAATGGATCTAGTGTAAAGGAAAACAAGACTCTAAGATTTAACTATTCAAAAAGAAACAGCAACACACTGATCATATGACAGCCATGACTTGCACCTTCAAATTTTCATTGAACAAGTATAATATCACTTCCCCTGATTAAGAGAATTAAGAAGAAAAGACACAAATGCTCTGATCACATATGTTGGTGGCATAGTTAAATCAGGGGTAAAAAAACAGGATGGTAATGTAACCCATATTAACATCAAAGGTTATATGGTTACAGATATGTGAAGTCCAACCACAACCATGTCTTAATGAATTAGCCAATTAGCTCCGTGATTTAAGTGATTTTTGCACCAAATGAGCAATAAGCATGGCTTGACTTAACAGCGAAGACATAACCCTTTCACCAGACTGTATTATTGTTCAATTATTCCCTAAGAATAATTAACCTGAGCAACCTTATGATTCATCTTCATGTTAATAAAATGAATTGAGCTAGTCTTACAGCTCGATGCTCCTATAGATAATAACACGAGAAACCACAAAATCTAAAAGAGAAACCTAATAATCATATTTCTAACGCACTGTTATGGATCGACTGCGGTTCTTAATTACCCCCAATATGACTCGAACTACAGAATTGAGCCATCTCGCTAACTGAGTCAACCCATGTCATTATTATCTTCATCTAGTCAAATACAGTCTCTCCTTTAGGAGCTGACCTAATGAACTACGCGAGCTTCAAAACTACGCAAAGATGAATCCAATCCAAGTAAAAATAAAAACAAACTACACTATCATAGTTTACCAACAGCGAAAGAACATGTATAGCAATGAAATGAATCCATCACAAAAACAGATCTACTTATAAACACACATACAAAACTGAAAAACGGATCCAAAAAAGTAATACAAATTCCAACCCGTCTACTCAACAACAAATGATATATCAATAACTGCAAAATCAAGACTAAAGATTAAAAAAATCACAACAAACAAACAAAAAGGGAACAGATTATGAATCAACGGATCAGAATAAAACCTAATGAGATTAAGAAAACAGAAAACCTAGGGTTTGCAGATGAACTCACTTGGCAAGCGACGGAGAGAAAGCTGAAGACGATGAGCAGGGAGTCGTCGATGAAGAAAATCAATTAGTTGAATCGAAGCTAAAACCTAGAAATTTCCGATCCAATTGAATTTCCAATTATTTAACTTTTAGCCAACATTTTAAAAGTTTGCAAATATAAACACTTAGAATTTCTACTCTACTTCTCTCCTCCATATGCTATAAAAATAATTAAAATAAATTGTTTAAAGTGTGCACACATTTTTTAAATTTTATTTATGCAATTATATTGAATATATAGCATATTAATTTGTTGCTTTCCATTCAAATTATGACGACTCATCAAGTTCTACATATAAGTCATTTCAAAAGTATAATATAATTTATACAAAAATTTCAATAATTTATCTTGAGTCGTACATGTTCATAAGAATTTTCAAAACTTGTGAATACATTCTCTCAAAGTTTTAACATAATTTAGAATCAAATCCTGACCATTTGTCAAGACTTATGCATGCAAAGCAAGTTCCCTATCTATAAGTATATATATATATATATATATATATATATATATATATATATGCTTATGACAATTTATTAGAACTTGTGAACAATTTATAATAAAATTATGATATGTAAGTTATATAAAATCTTAACAATCTGTTAAGATTTGTGTATGCAAAATAAATATGTCAATTTATTAGAATTATTGATGATTCGACCGAGAAGCTATTTTTGTAAAAGTTATTTAAATGATATTCAACCTATTAATAATAATGAATACCTTTCTTTGGGATTTTGACTATTCTTCTTTAAAAAAAAAAATAAAATTGGTAAAACTAAATGAAAATATAAAATTAGTATTTAACGCGGACAATGTTAATGGGTGATCAATAAATTAGTGACCTTTATCGCATTTTTTAGAGGTATTCGTCTATAATTAGTTCAAATGATCGAGCCTACGTCATAATTTGAGCCGAGAGAAATTATATACACTTTTTCTAGTAGTAATCTCTTTGTTTTTATATTAATTGTCCATATTAATTGTGAACAATAACGGATGAAGAGTATAAACATTCTTAACAAATAATAAAATATGTAAAAGGTAAAGTGAACAATTAATATAAAATTAATAAAATGATAATTAACTTCTTTACGAACTTACTTTGAGAAAAGGCCTAAACATGCCATTAAACTTTCAGAAAATGTTCATTTATGTCCTCTGTTAAAAGTTTGACTCAATTATGTCATTATTGTTAAAGAAAAGACTCATTCATGTCATTATTTTTTAACAATGATTTTGCAAAACCATTTCTTACACGTGGTCAATTATAATTCGGCAACGTCATTAATATTTTTTTAAAAAAAAAATCAATTTTTTAAATAAATTAACGTGTTAAAAATGATTTTGTAAAATCATTGATAAAAAATAATGGAATGAATGAGTCAAACTTTCAACTAATGACATATTTGAGCCTTTCCTAGACGCGTGTGTATATATATATACCATGTATAAATACTACGAATAATTAATGACAACTGGTACATTGCTAAGTAAGGAAAAGTACAGCATGTGTGGTAGGCACTCACAATTCAGTTTTAATTTCGATACATATTTATATATTTTTATAATAGAATTTTAAGAATTAAAATCATAACACATTTAAGACAATGCATATTTATTCTCCCCTCTTTTGTCATTTCCTCATTGGCTTATGGCCCTAATAAAATATCTCCATTCTCTTATCCAAATGCTGATGTATGGCACAACCGAATTTCTTAGTACACATCCCACTGCAGAAAAAGAAAATAGGGGAACAATATTAATTCTCACAATTAATGAATTGAAATTGTGAAATTATTATACCTAAAACAGTTAAGCAACTCTCAACCACCCTATTATTTAATTCCTTTTAGATACTAATTTTGTAAACTAAATATCTTTTTCTTTTTTGTTCATTTAATAAGATCAAATTTGATAGGTGCAAGTTCTTTTTTGTACAATTTAGAGGTGGGTTCATGTGTTCTAGTGTGGTACCTTTCTTATGAGTTATGACCAACAAAAGATTAATCACAAGTTGGATTAGGTCCACTTCCCTCCCTGTTCCCTTGTCTCAACTTGAAGTTCAAAGTCTAATTTTCTAATGGACCATTTCTACTATATTTTACGAATATCGAGTAATTTAAATAAAAAAAAATTATTAATTTTATTTCTGCTGGAATTTAAGTATTGACTTAATTGATCACTAAGCTATTACATTCTTGAGTGTTGACTCGGTTTACTTGCCTTCATTGACTAGTAGTTTTTTTTCCTAACTGTTGGGTTTTAACAAGTGTGAATGGGAAAAGAAAAGAGAGAATATGAAAAGTGAGGGAACTACTTTGGAGGGAAAATGAAAAGTCATTTGCAAAGTGCAAATGAAAAGTCATTTCTCCCATATTGGCAAAAGAAATGAAAATTGTTGTCCTTATAGAAGGAAACACTTCCATTATTTCTTAAAAGAGCTAAGAAGAAGATGCCCCTCGCGCCGTCGTCGCTCGACTTTGGATTTGGATTTGGCAAATGATTTGATTGATAATTTTTTGGACAAAATTTATTTAATCAGTTTTTGTTAAATCAAATAAATCCTGTTAATATTATCTCTTATGTAACATTCCGAAAAGTCGTTACTTTTCTAAAAAGTCGTTACTTTTCAAAAAGTAGTTATTTTTCCTAACAGACACATTTTTTCGAAAAGTTGTTATTTTTTCCAAAAGACACAACTTTCTGGATAAAATGGGTCTGAACAGATTTCACTGAACAGACATGTTCCTTGCTGAAAATGGCTACAAAAGGAAGTCAATTTTTGATTTTTCAAACACTGAAAATTTTTCTTTCTCTGCATTTATTTTTCTCTCAAATAAAAAAAAAATCAAAGTGTCGATCGACTGAGTCTGTATGACTTGTTGCTGTTCTTAAGTTCGTTGAAGTTAAAAAAGTTTGAGGTACCGCTATTTCTTTAACAGGTTTAATCCGTTTTATCTTGGGAGAAATTAATCCATAACCTTGGGTACAGTGAGGGAATTAAATTTCTTAAGGACACACAGTAGTTTCTGTGGACTCGGAATAATTCTTGTATTTTATATTTTTTCTGTTTCATCTTATTTGTGTTTCTGTTTATTAACCTTATAAATACAGGTTATAGAAAGAATAACACCAACTAGATTGGTAAGTCTCATAGATCCAACCATTCTCTCTCCATGCCCCGAGGATCGATGGAGAGAGCATATGCCATCCAAAATTTAAACTAAGTGAATTTACTACATCCACCACTGATATAGAGAGAGACACATGAACCAACTAGTAGTTAGGTATATACCAATATAAATATATATACATCCTAGGAACTTGGTTTGGAACAATATTGTTATATAGTTAAGACCATGGTTACATATGACATGTTTCTTGCTGCCTTTCTATGACAATATCATGCCATAATTCTTAGCAATAGACTAAAAGTAAAAGTAGAACAATGACTACTAAGAGATTCAATAAAAAAAGAAAGAGGTAAAAAAGGGCCTACATGAATGTGGTTATCATTAAAGATCTAAATAAAGATAACATCCAATCTGTTTGAACCTACCTGGCAATCTCACTTTGATTGCCTTATGCTAAGGGAAGAAAACTCACCTAACTCAAACATGTGTGTATGATTCCCTTAACATGTCTCTCAAAAATTGCACTTCTTTTTTTTTCTTGGAAAAAAAAAATTTAATCTTTGTAGGTTAATTGGACAAAGAAAATAATTGAACTAAAACTCTTTTGTCTACTCTACGCTGAGCAAATCAAAATTAGTCAAACAAATAACGCAAAAAGAAAAACACAAGCAATCTATTAGTACAATAAAATGTCAAGAGACAGAAAAGTTCAATATACAATTTCAAATCTATCAAAGATCAAACATTTTTTTTCAAGATGTAACTAAAGAAAAAAAACAAACAAGAACCTTTTCATTATTATGTGGTCTTAGAAGCATAGATCAACAATGAGAATTCAATTTTTTCTTGATCTTTGATGAGGAATTTGTCTTTCTCATCTAGCCACAATCTACTATCCATTCCACTTCTTGTCCTAAACATAAATAATGCAATACCAGAAGCTGGATTAAAGAACCAATCATGAACATTCCACATTAGATCAATAAGCAATCCGTCCAAAAAAATACTCTGATTTCCCCTGAAGTTCCATTGCAATCTTTTCACTCTAATCACCATCTTCTTATCAATATAAACAGACAAAACAGGATGTTTTAATCCATCATTTTCGCCGTTGCAACGAATCAAAACATCATGTAGGTTACCATTATCACAAAATTGAGCCTTAGTTGAATAAATTGTATTACCAGAAAAATGTTCTTGTCTTGATACCAATGAAAATTTAGCCATTGGAATTCCATTTTTCAACTTCCTTAATGATGCTTCTTCAGCCATATCACCAAGAATAACTCCAAGTTGTGAATCAACTATGATCAGTACATAATATCCATCAATTGGTTCAGGACCACTACTTAAGTACCTAGCTCCACACAAATCCCAAATGATTTCAACCTTAAAATGATCCAAATCCATTGATTTACTCCCCTTCTTCTTCCTAAAAAGACGCGTATTCGTGTTGAGTTTGAATACATTTGGATGATCATCACCAAAGTGTACACTCAAGCCTTGTGTTACATTTGTTTTGCACCATGAAATTGTGATCAAGACATGTTTTTTATTGGATAAATTGACTTTGTACAAACAATTCACAGTGTTTTGTACTGAAGGAATTATAGAAGGAGGGATACAAGCAGAGTTTGAGTAACTAGAACAAGAAGTATTATCAGAAACTTGAACAGCATATTCATTGAAACAAGAAGCAAAATCTCTCATTTTCTTTTTTTGGTTACAAGAAGAAGAAAAGGGATCTGAAGGGGAAAAAATGAGGAGTTATGGCTATTTTATTTTATTTATAATATATATATATATATATATATATATATATATATATATATATATATAGAAAGAAATAAAATAGAGATTTGGAAGGACTTGTTTTTGGAATTTAATTCAAATTAGGAAATAAAAAAGAAGAATCCTCTTTAACTGACAACCCATGTAAGGTAGGAGTATTAAATATGATTCTAATGGTTTTTTTTTCTTCCCTCTCACCTTAAAATTTGCAATTTAGGAGAAGGGCAAAAAAGGAAATAAAAGAAGAAATTCTTAGACTAATTTGTTAATTTAAGGACTATATTTATTTAATTCTCTTTTGCCAGTTCATCTGAGATACTATTAACGTAAAAATTAATTAATTTAAGGACCATAGATTAGTAGTGGAGTAATTAAGATGGATGAAAGTGGAATTGTAGTAGAAGTTTCATAATAATGGTCAACTCTCTTGTAAGGGTTCTAGATAGGTTTTGTGTACCTTCGCTAGTTTCATATAATATCTATCATCTTTTATCAGTAACATGATCAAATTACTATATCTGTAAAGACTAAAGTAAATAACAAAAATTACCTAATAACTTTTTGTCTCAATTAAATTTTAAATTTGAGATTTCAAAATTTTCGATCATTCGTTGAATGCACCTCGAATGCAACTCTCGTAATTTTATTTTAAGCACTAATGATGGATTAATATGTACTTTAGTAAAACACATCTCGTCAAAGAATTATACAGTCAGAATATTATGAAAATTTACCTTGATTTTATTACTATATTTTGAATTTTACCTTTTTCTCAAAGGAAGGTTAAGGAATTACCATGTTGATTGTTTTATTTCATTCATTGTGTGTAAAACCCTTTTCTAATAAAAAATATTTTGGACTTCTATTAGAAAAAAAAATCTATAACTGTTTGATTCAAAAGCAATAAATTGTCAGTTTCTGGAATATTAACTGTTTGCATACTAGTAAATATTTGGACGATCATTGAATGATTCCAAGGGGATAAATAAAAATTAAAAAAATTAAAAAATTGACTTGTGGGTGCATCTTAAAAAAAATAAAATTTTACTATTGGATAAAGAATTAAGTGTAAAAAAATTTTCTACACGACAAAGTCTCATGATTAGGTCTTATAGAGAAAATTTCAACGATGAAAGTCGAGCAATATAGATGAACGCCATTTCCCACTCAACAAAACTTTAATAGTAGAATAAATATTTTTCAAAGGACGTATAAAAATAAAACACGATAAATATTTTAAAACGAATATCCTTTATCCCTTTTCGATCTTCTTCTTTTTCATTTACATTTACTGTAACTGTTTTCGTTTAATTTTATTATCATCTTTATTGTGACATTGAGTGGAATAAGTAGTTCGTTTTTTTTATGTATTGGTAAGCATAAATTTATAGTGCATGCAGTTGCAGGTGGGAAAAGGAACATTAATTAAATTCCTTTTTTTTTGTAACCCCCATGAATCTATTTAATTTTTTTTAACTACTACTTTCACGTCACTGTCCAGTCAATATAAAAAGAGAGTGAATTAACATACACGGTTGGAAAAATAAAATAAATTCTTCACCAAATAACAAAATTAAAATACGAAAAAGGGCAAAATATATTCTCATACATGGGCAGGTATGAGTGGATTCTTAAAAAAAAAAATAGTGGTGTTTAAAATTAGGGGCCGCTGGTATGTCATTTATTTGCTTGTTACGTATTTATTTATTGAAATTAGAGATAAAATTCTACTCAATTATAACGATAAGGATGTAATCGAACGAATAGTCAAATAAAATATATATATATATATAAATTATTTCGAATTCTAAAGGTATATTTTGCCCTTTTCAATTTGTTAAAAGGGAAAAATACTGATATGCTAAGGTCCAAAACGACATGGTTTAGGAAAAAAGCTAAAATTGGAAAGGACAAAAGAAAGAATAAAATGCTTTGATTCTAACAAAACCCTAACTGGGAATACCTAAAGAACAAGTAGTTATGTTACCCTAATAAGTATCCACAACCCCACCTTCAAAAAAAGTGATAAAAGAAAGACATCATAAAGAATCGTTTAATTGAAAAATAAATTCGAAATATAAAATCTCAAATAGATTTTGGACTTGAATCAACCTCATTGAAGCGGCTCAATAACGAGATCATCTTCTTTTAATGTAAAACTCTTTCATAAATCTACTAATACAAAAATCATATAGTAACTCAAAAATTGTCTATCAAAATTAGTTTGAAAGTAGAGAAAGAAAAAGATAAAATCATGAATTCAAAGTCAAATTTCAGTTATTGAATCACTTGTCACATACATATATGGTCCACAATTTGTAGCTGTCCAATGTATTTAGTCTAATATTCCTTGGATCTTCCACTAACAACATGTTTTTTGGGTTAGGTTTTGTTTCAACAAGATAGTCCTCAAAGTTTTGGTGAGAAAAGAAAACGACTATATTATTACTCGTCCGTTTCTTTTTAATTGTTATGTTATAATTTTTAAAAGTTAATTTAATTAATTTTTAAAATTATTTTAATTTGATATTTTAAAATAGAATTTTAAATATTTTAAAACTATAAGAAAAATATTATAAATTACAATTTTGTTCAAATCAATATGAGAATTTTTTTTTAATCAAAATTCATACCGTCGAACTTAAAAAGGAAACTATAATAACTGAAAAGAAAAGAAAGAAGTATTATTTAACTAATTTGTGCTTTTAATATTACAATCCCATTTTGTTTGGCAGCCAAGCACTGTGATTAGACATTTGTCACTATCAATGTGTTAGAAAAACTAAAGTACTTGTTGATTTCACATGTTTTACTTTTATGAAATCCCAACTTAATTATTTAACTAATTAACTTCATTTTTTCGTGGTAAAAACGCTGCAAATGTAGGGTTTATCAACACAATCAACTTGCCACAATTTTCGTAATGGAATGCTATTAAAATAATGGATTCTAATAACAGACAGAGTTGGAATTTAAACATTATCAAATATATACGTGTTGAATAAATTTTTAATACAAATATAAAATACATATATTATTATATAAGAGAAACAAAAAAAAAGGTGTTTGTTTTATCGTACAGGAGCACTCCGTTTGTAAGGTAGAAAACTATTCTAGAACGTGAAGGCAATTCATTGAAAAATTATTATTTAGGAAATTAAATTTCTTTCATTTTTACCTTACAGCATATCGAGATATTCTCTCAGACTCCAAGAAAAATATTTTAATTTAATTAATTAATTTGGTAGGTATTTAATATTCATCACTAAATAGTCAAGTGGCATGCTTAAAAAAAATTAAAACCCATGCCTTTCATTGTCTAATTTAACTTACCTACTTTAACAATGTAAATTTAGTTATTTTTTTATACTATTAAGTATAACCTATGTCAACTAACTAATTTTCACTTATGGTTGATTTGCTTAAATATTCCTTTTAAAAGTTAAGTATAATTCTTGAAAAATATTTTTTTTTTGTATGAGATGACATCCAATTCGAGTCTAATAGGTTTGCTATACTATAAGACATTTAATGTAACTTAAAAGATTATATTTTACATTATACATGATTCGATATTTTCTCATAAGATTTTCAGTTTACTCCACAAAGAAAGAGTTGTTTATTAAACTATTATCATCGAAATGAGTAATCACCAAAAATTTCATCTACAAAATTAAGTTTTTTTTTAATGGAAGAACCTAGTTGGGGAGGAAGCTAAAGTATGAATTGAAGAATCCAGCAAGTAGCTTAATTTTTTAATTAACAAAAATTTGGTTAATCATATTTAATTGGTTGTTATATTTTCTTGTGAGCAAAATAAGCTATATTAGATCAAGCATGTTTTGTGGTGAAGTTACAAGAAACAGAAGACCCGCAATTTACAATTTTGCAAATCCAATATTTGACATGACTTAACAACTATTTAAGGAGAAAAAATTAATTATAATTTGTTTGTCATACTGACTTCATTATAATTAATTTATTTCCAAAATTTTTATTCTTAAGAGGTGTTCTTTCTTTTTCATGTACGAAATATTTTATCAAATTGACTAATAAAAAAAAGAGTACAAGTCTTCGTGCATGTACATAGACTTTTTTCTTTTATTTTTATATTTTTTTCTACTTAAAAACATTAAATTTTAATTAAAGAAACAAAGAGAAAGCTAAACGGACCTCTCATCTACTGGCAACATGTGAAGTGCTATGCTTTTTATTATTATTATTTTTCCATCTCTAATTACGAAATAAAAAGAAAAAATACAAAAAATCAAACAATATAATATACACTTTCTGTATTATCATTAATGTATCCCAAAGTCAGAAATTAAAATATTATTGAAGAAAGTTGACTTTTAAAAAAAAAAAAAAAGCTTCTTAAAATCGTCTCTAATCGATACTTATTTAAAAGGGAAACATATAACACCTTTAAATTATTTCATCCTTCCTTTGCGGATGGTTAATTATTCCTTCATTCTTAATTAGAGGTTTAGAACTTCTTAGCGCGAATGCGGGTGAAAAAAGAAGAAGGGGAATTGTTTGTCATCTAAAAATCGATTCAACAAGTTTAGGTAGTTATGATAATTCTCCGTTTCAAGTCAAAATCGGCAAAGAGAGTATATTTGACTTTCTAAAACAAATAAGTTAACAATATTTTAAATCGATTCTTTTAGTTTTTAACTTATATGACTTTTGAGTTGAGATAATTGCACGTTCGATCAGTGTTCAGAGCTCCAACAAATTGAATTCTAATTAATTCAAATCTTGCTTAGAAGAATGAACCTTCTCCTTTTTTTTTTCCTTTGTTTTTGTGGTAGGGCCAATTGTAGTATATAATTAAAATTTTGTTGCTCAATTGATAGATAAGTTAGCATATCTTTTTCTGAAAAAATTGCTACTTGGTTTTTACTTTTTCTTAGGGAATGTCCTTTTAGATAGCTAATTAATGAATTAAATTGTGATGTCAACAACTATATAAATGTAATGAATATGAACATAATATACTATTTTTAATTTCAGAATGATTCAAAGTATTTGACACACTTTTACTGGAATTTTATCCTTCAACTTCAAATATGGTTTTGAAAACACAAGTAGGTTGCCACATCAGGCAACTCGTCTTACATAACGTCCACGTGGCACCACATCAGAAAATAAATGTCCATTGGATCAATAGTTCAATGTTTGTGACATTGGCATAAACATCAAGCTATTACATGGATTCAGCTGATATATTTCTGAACTGTAATGTAGATTTAACATCGTCTCAATACAACAACTATGTATATTATTTACGCTTCAGTATTCTTCATCCGCTTGTGTTGATCTAGTAATAGGAATTGACCATCTTCCTAGATGCGCTGTGTAGTTTATGCAACGGATAACTCCTCTCCCTGAGGGTCCATCAGGAAAATCGATAACAGTAATACTTCCTGCATTGAGATGAAACGATCCCAACCATTCCTTTGTTAGATTTAGACAGTGTCCCATCATCGCGATATGAAGTGCAGGATGGCCAACAGCAATGACTACATTGTCTTGGTCAGATCCTTTGGATAGTTCATACAATAGATGTTTCCATGATTTCCCAGATTGGTCCCATAAAGATGTATTGACGTCGTCTTCCAGTCTATTTAACCAACCAGAAGACAGATTTTGCAATCCTGGTGCATCCTGCAGAGGAAATCGAGAACTTTTAAGTATGAAAATCATCAAATATTTCAAACTAGAACGCGGAAATAATACAAGTTGAAATACCATCTTATGCAGGATTTAGTCAGAGCAAATCAAGAAGAATATTTTACGACTTTGGCTTCCGAAATTTAAATTTTGCAATCTCAATGCATCCTTATATTGTTATCTTAAGAATGTGTCTTTTTGGAAAATGGTTATATTAAGAATGTTTTGCACACAACCTCTAAGTAAATTCATCAACTTGTTTCAGTTTAGGAAATCAGTAACATGTCTGTTACCTTCTTTGATTGCGTAAGAATACTTTCAACATCTAGATCTGGTATCTGCTTCGTTTCCACATAGCGGGGGATACAGTCAGCTCCAAGGCAGTCAGCAGCTTCTTGAACCTAAAAAATTCAGTATAAATGTTTGTGTTAAGAAAACTAATGCTCTTAATATAAAAGACTGTCAATCGACATACTATCTGAGTGGTCCTACTTTGGTGATTGTGTCAGCTGTCTCAACAGATGCTATCTTAGTTCCACTGACTACGGTATTCACTTTCAGATCAAGAAGCAGCTCTGCTATTTTCTGGGCCTGTCATCCAATTTAATAAATCCTGTAAGGTAGTGACACCCCCCAAATGAAGCTGAATGCTACTATAGAAACGAGAACCATCTTACCTGTATATTTCCAAGCATGTTCAAGGGGCCATTTCCAGTATACGGCATACTACTCTGTACAAATTTCAACTTCCATGAGGAAAGAGAAGAAAATGGTCGAAGCAACAGATAAGGATACCCAAATGACAATGAGCAGTTTGAACAGCTTGCCAACATGCTAAACAGAATTGGGGCTAAAAATCTGGAAGCTAAGGCGAGGACAAATCAGAATTTATACAGTAGATGGCTACATGCCTGAACACTCCATTAGTCTACAAATGAAAATCCAAGTTTACCAGGCAGGGAAACATTCATAAGGTGCATAGACCCCAATCTCAGTTTCCTATGTCTCTGAGGATGTCCATTTAGAAGCATCATTGACACATCCAAAATTAGCCAACCAACCAACACGGTTTTTTTCTTCATTTCTTTTACTTAATTTGTGTGGAAGTAACCTCTGACATCCTATATCATCCTTCTCTTTCTCTGTGCTCAGGTTGATAAATTACTGCTTTATCGTCCAAGATGGAATTTCATTTAAACAGATGTAGAAATCCTCAAGCAGAAATATGATCTGCGGAAGTGAAATCTTTGTGTCATCCATATCTCTTACCATAAGCTAATAGTACCAGTTATTTGTAGTTCTGAAAGTACTTGTAAGATAAATTAAAATTCATGAAGTTAAAAATTGGAAGCCATCAATTTTTTATTGATTAGAGAGAAAACTGCAGTCCATTGCGAGTAGATGTTCCTTAAAACAATGCAAAGGTGGACGGACTTTAGTATTTTCAAAGCTCGACAGTACATTCTCCACCTCTAGAAAATTTATGTGATCTCAAGTTAGGCCATTGGGATGATTAGTATATGGCCTTTCTTCATATTAATTTATCCATTCATCAATTAAGTATAAGGATGGTATCCTCAAGAATGATCTCAAGAGGGGGATAGAATGGATAGATAAGGTTCTTCTATCAGCTTAAGCCCAAAATCCTAGTACCCAAGGAATGTGTGGCACTCAAACTAGTCTTAGACCAAAAATTATACGAGAGGTTTGCAGAATCGTACTTCAATAAGGATCAAACAGACTTATTACTAACTTTTTTTATGTCACAGATATGAGAATCACGGAATCTAATATGTCTGTTTATTGGCAATATAGAATCATTAGTCCACTGCCTACTGCATACCTCTAGGTCACTCTCTGATACTCCATGGCAAACAAGTACAATCCGCTTACTAGTTTTTCTGCCTGCAGAACTTCCCCCTGCTACAGGTGATCCTGGGGTCTGCATCATCCAAAATTAAGCCACAGCAAAAAGATAATCAGATATATTACAATCCAGATCCTTGAAGTCCAAACTCCAGATAAAGCCATAAAGAACAAAGATAGCAAATGTAGTTCTAAAAAAAAAAGAATCAAACAAGATTGAACCTACAAGTCATATGTTGACCTTGATTATCTGACAATCAAATAAATCTGACAGCCTCGAGTGTTGAGAGACTAATTAGAATATTGGATCAAAATAAGTCTAATGGAGCAATATGGATAGAGGTTCATATTTAGCACAGTAAACTAGCTTATGATTTGATTTTGAGGCATGATTGTTGTTGTTGTACATACTTGCATCCAGATAGAGGGCTGGACCAATCATTGTATATAAATATTTTTTATAACAGCTTTAGAAACTTTATGAAAGGAAGATATTTTAGGCATAAATTCCTTGTCTAAGCCGGCAGTTTTTCAGATCATCAAATCTTCATGTCACAACTAAGATCACTAGCAGGAGAATTTGAATTTTCCTTTTCTTCATACCTTTATATATCATCATTTAATACCTAAGATTGAGTCAAATCGTTACCAGATTGGATACCTGATTTAAACGATTAAGGCAGATACTTGGGGTTCCGCCCTCAGGTTGTGGAGTGAAGTCCAGCACACTAACCCCACAATTGCTCTGAAGTAGAATCCTGAAGTACTCGGTTCCTAATCCTGATGATGGTGAAACAAATATAAAAGATAGGATCAGACTGCTAGCAGACGTTAGAAACCTTAAATTAAACTATGATTACGTTAAGGTAAGCATACCAATAGCTGTTGCAACAAGAGCCTGATTAACTGCATTATGAGCAACTACTAGGACAGACTTGCTTTCATGGACCAAGATTTTGTCCCAGCAGCTTTTAGCACGAGCCCACAACTCCCTCACTGGATAGTGACCGTCAATAATGAAATTTGGTGCATCTATTTGCCATTGACGAAAAGCTTCCCCATATTTAGCTTTTCCTTCATGTTTCAGGAGGCCCTAGAGCAGACATATGTTTCCACATTAGGAATACCATTAGATTCGGACGCATAGTCCTGTCAGTCACACTGAAGCATGAGTGGTTCACATGCAAACAGATTGCCATATTGACAGATTTCAAGTCCAAGAGAAAAATACAAAGCAGAGGTGTAAACTACAACTGACTTGGAATGAGTATAGGTCAATTTCCCTCATGTCAGAATCAGTAATGATCTCCTCTTCACGAGCACCCCATATTATCTCAGCTGTCCTCTTTGAGCGACGCAGTGGACTGGAACATGCAGGCCACCTCTGTCAATCATTTTGGAAATATAAAAATGACTAGCAAGAGACTCTTTTTCTCGACATGCATCAGCTAAAAGTGAAATTATCATGCAATTTATGGTCACAGACTAAAGAAGTGGATCTTAAACTCACCACAAAAGCTAGCTCATAGGGTGAGGAATATTTATAAGGAGACCATTGCCCATTCCTTTTCCATGTGGGACTTATTAACAGTTCTTGCTGGTGAAAGTGCCTTTAAGCAGAGTTATCTAAGTTGTAATCATATCCCAACCCGGCAACCCCTAAAGTACTTCAATCGTAATACTTGGTAAAATAAGCATAAATCACTCACGAAAATTTAAAAAATTAGGAATAAAACCTTGAAAAGCAGATATCGAAGGAGTCATCAATAAGCATTTGTCGAGAAGTTTCAGCTTGTGATTCTCCTTTAGAAGTAAGAACTGAGAAATCGGAGCTTCCCTGAATCCGACCCTCCGCATTCCACGTGCTTTGCCCGTGCCTCACCAGCACCACCCTCTTCGCCCCCTTTATCGCCGGAAATTCCAAACCCTTTAAACCTAGAGATTCCGTCCGCTCCTCTGATGATTTATCGATTTCTTGAGCAACACTTGAAGAGCGAACAATTGCAAATAAGGGTCTGTTTGGATTGTGAAAAGGCAAATTCTTGGGTAGTTTTGGGCTGAAGAAAGAGCTTGCAGCTATGGAGTACATACTGTAAAATCGTTTTTCCTCTGTTTCTGAAAAATGGTGATTCCCTCTAATATTTTTGGCGCTAAAAGACGATGGAATTTTTAGTATTTATTTCTGTGGTTACCCTTTGGTTTCGATCGATAAAATCTAACAAAGGATCAGAAGAAGCCAAAGAGTGACACGTGTTAATTAATTTTATTAGTCTATCTTATTTTTAGTTTTATTTCCATAAACCAAAATTTGTTTTCTTTTTGGAAAATAAAGTTTTAAATTTGCCATAACATTTATGTAAAATGGTCTACTTTTATCTTTTATTGATAGTCAGAATCAAATAACTAACCGAAATTACAGTGAAGAAGTAAGTAGTTTTCATTTTTACTTTGAAATTTTTTATTTCAAAATTTTTGAGATAGTTATTTCTGTTAAGAAGTCTTATTTCTAGTATAAGTTTTTTAGTAAGAGTTGAATTGAATTTTAATATAAATAAATATTAAATAAATTGATATCGTTATAATTAAATTAACTCACCTGTAAGCTTTTTTATATTTCGACAGAAGAAAGCATACGAAGGGATTTATATTTCGCCAAATGTATTTAGTGTGAATTGGATATCCATTTACATAAGCCATAAACACCCAATAATGTGCATCATATATAGTACATATACTACAGACATAGTGTCCACCAATTTAACATGGAGGCAATCATCACATGATAAAATCGTGGGAGTATATTGGATTTTTTATGATTTTAATTTTTATCAGAAGGGTTTGAAATATGAAAAAAATAATTAAAAAAGTCAATAATTATTTAATATTTATTATTATTTTATATATATAAATAATATAATTTTTCATAAAAAAGAATTTGAATCAATCCTCTAATTTGACCTGAACCACGCATGTTAGCTACCATGTGAAGATGTCCAACTACTTTTTAAGTACTTTGAGTAAATGAGTAAAAGATACTGATACCGTTCGATTTTAACATTATAAAATCGTGGTTTCACATTCCTCTTTTAAAACCAAACATAATTAGTCATAACTCATAACACTTATATATATATATATATATATATATATATATATATATATATATATTATTTGTCAAATATATTTAAGAATATGTTCTCCATGAAATTTCATCTCTACAAGAGTTAGAATATTTATCGAGATTATATTTTGCTTACTCATGAGTTATCACACGTAAATCTCTTATTTATCGAAGAAAATGTATATTGTGAAGCTTATTTTTCCTTAGAAAGGAAATGAGAGGACAAGATATCTTCCTCGCAATTTGCATAATCCCTAATTCGTATATCACTATCCTTTTTGATGAAATCATTTAATGTCATGTCAATCACTCAATTCATATCTGAAATTAACTTGATCCTGTTGCTTGTTTTAAGCCCAATACCTTTTATCAGTCTAATAATTACTTATATGACCTTAATGTCCACGTTAAGTTAAACTTGATTCATAACAGGTTCACATGTACACCCTAAAATGAATAGTAGTAATTGCTATAAAATCCTATCCTATCTATAAATTTAACCTTGCACGCACGCTCTTCAAAATCGAATTTAATTTTACAGGTAATAAACTACGCGACATGAGAATGGGGGGCCTACTTGCGTACTGCCATTTAATATTTTTTATCAAAAATTCTAAATTTTGTATCATCCGTTGAAAACAAGTATAAAATATGTTTTTTGAATTTTTATATTTTGTTGATTAAAATTTTAAAAAATAATAGAAAATAATGAACTAGTCTATATATAAGTGACATTTTAAGTTTTATTATATCTTTCGCACTTAACCAACGCTCCCCAAACCCTACCCTTTGACTATCACACCCCTACGCTTCCCGAGGCCCACTCCTCATCCCCTCTCATCTCTATAATATTTAGATAAATTATAGGGAAAATTAATAACTTAAATTAAATAGAATAGATAGGGTTTGATTTAATTGTGCTCCATAGCAAAACATTAGCTAAAATTTGCCAGCGTCTCTCTCCCAAAAATCTCGCTCGCCACTCTCCATTCTCGCTCACCTCTCTCGCTTTTATACACAGAAGTGTATAATTCTGTTTCTGTTTTGTATAAAGCGAGAGAAAATTGTATATACACATGCAACAATGTATATCTTCGTGTTATACACTTAATTATACAATTTACAAACATTTTACTTCAAACATTGCAGAGAAAAAGGCCAACGAATTATACAATTGCAGTGAAATACAATTTTCTCTAGCTTTATACAACAGAAGTGTATATATTGTGTTTCTGTTTTTGTATAAAGCGAGAAAAACATATATCTTCTTGCTATACACTTATAATCATGCAATATACATACATTTTAATTCGATTCAATTGTATGCAAAACAAATTATACAATTGCAGCGAAATATACAATTTAGGCCAGCGAATTATACAATTGTATATGTATAGCAAATTATACAGTTTTATGTTTGTTATGGAACGCAGTTATACAAAGTTTGCTATAGCATACAAATATAAATTTTTTATTTGCTATATGTGAAAGTTACCCTAAATTATATATACGTAATTTTTAAAATAATATATTTTTTATTTACTTATTAAATATTAAAAATTATAGAAGAAACTAACTTAATTTATAAAGGATGTCTTTTTCATGAAAAATGTTCTCCTTATACCTGGCCAATCACACCATTAGCTCATTGTAGGTCCAACAAGAGAAATATGAGTTCGGCGAAAAAGTATATTATTTATATATGGTTAAAATAAGCTTATGTATATATAGTAAATGTTAAACCCCTTTCAGCAATTTATTTTTACAGATTTGAACCTCCTTGTTGAAAATCCACCTTGAGAAATACAAAAATTACTATATTATCCCTATTGTTAGATTTTTTTTGCGTTGAGAATTAAACAATATTAAAAAGAAGTGGTTCTTTAATATAAGGCTATAGTTGAAAATATTATTATTATTATTATTATTAGTCTTATAATTCTAAAGCAACATTTATTTTGAGCAAAGAAAATTCTGAAAATTAAATAGACAATTCCCACGTGCTCCTTAAACTTGTAATTTTAACTTATATTATATGGGGGGGGAAAATACTGCTTAGACTTTTGACCCCAAAAAAAAACAAAAACAAGTGACAATTAAAAAACTAAGCAAGCTCCTAGAAGTTTTGTCCAGGTCAATTTGATGCAAAGTTTTGTTGAAATTTAATGTTATTATTGACCCAATGGACACGTTTTGTAACATTTTTATTAATAATATTAATACTATATGTTAAAGAGCCTCTTCAGGAAAAGAATGTTCCAAGAAAAGGAAGGGAAACTGCAATGTGACCAAACAATACAATTTTGACTGCTAAGTAAATTTCAACAATCATTTAACAACTATTAACCACCTTTTTCTTTTTACTAATTTGACCCAAAAATGAATTGTGAAAAATAATAAAGTACACTACCTAATAATACACGTTATGCAATACTCATATTTTCAATTAATTCTAATATGTATAGCTTAAAAGACATTTAAGAAATAAACGGTCTCTAATAAAATAAAAAATTATATTCAGAATAGAAACTCAATTTTTTTTACGAATATCATTACTTTAATTCAGTATTTTTAATTAATACAAGGTGCATACGATACATCAACTAAATTTTGTGCATAGACAAAAATATGTGTACATAAAATATAATCCACACATCAAAACCTAATGTACAAGATATCATTATTATCACCATAGTCCATCAATCTGGCAAGTTCGATTAGGTGGGACAACAAAGATTATGGTGTTAAATCATCATATATAATATCAAGACTCCTAAATAGTTAGTGAATCAAATAGTCCAAAATAATCATAACATTTAATAATTAGTGTCACTAATTAAATAGTATTAGGGGTAGTGGAGATGGGGTTTGGCTAGCAAGGTGCACTATTTGGTTGTAGGTAAGAATTTATAAGAAAAATTAAGCCACACATCAAATTTAGGTACTATATCTAGTTTCAATCATATAGTGATAGTTTGAAGTTTTATAATCGACATGTGTGAATATAGTTTTATCATTTACGTTAAAATAGTTGAATAAATTAAGATATTGTATGTACATGCATACATTTATTACATGTGTATGACTACAATATTATTAAATTTGACATTAATATTACCCTCTTGTTATATGCTTTACCACTAGAAGTTAGAATTTACACCATTCGTAATTGATAAATTAAAATAGATATTTAGTTTTACTTTATTGTTTAATTTAAGTTTCATCCAACCTACTTTGATAACAATAAATGTTGAACGAATCGAATCGTAATTTATTGATTGCATTTGAATCGTCTTAGCTACATATATTCACCAAACTTGATCGATCAATTAATGAGTAATTCTAATGTAGGCGAATGTGATAAGGAATGACTAATTCAAATTTAGGTGGATTTGATAAGAGATCGGAGATGCAAAAATAATATGTCTTTTCTTTTTTTTTAAAAAAAAACTCCATAGGAACTTTAATATTTTTACTCTCTTGATAACTCGAACCCATTATGTTAAGGTCGGAGATAGAAAATGTGTAGCACCTGAACAACCCCCTTTTATAACAAAAATAGTACTTCAAGATTCATTACGTGCTTAAATACTTTTGTTCTTTTTGACATTTGCTATTTTAACAATTTTTTAAAATTTTTTAAAAGAAACGATTCATGAATGTCAATCGCTCTAAATGAATTTCTAAATTCATAGATTTATCAATGTATATTCAAATTCTTATTAGTGATTGGTTATTTATAATTAAAAATTAAAGAATGACTTTATGAAATTCTTTTACACAAGTAGCTTGATCTTCACCAGTGAACATATTTTACGGGATAAAGATCCGGTCAAGTATAATTAGGTCAAGTAATTTTCAATGACCTTATAGATTTATGCCAGTATACTATATAATAATTTATGTTGAGATTCATTTAAATTATATTCATTTTGATAATAAAAATAACAAATCCGTCAATTATTTTTGTTTTTTAAAACTATTAAATAAAATGATTAAGTGTACTCTAGCTAATATTTTCAAGAAAAAAATAA